GGAGTCTCGGTAGTTCCGTGTTATCTTCCCTTTCCCGTTTGGGTTTGTGTTTTTTTTTTTTTTTTTCCTCGCCCCTCTGGAAAAGATTTATTAAACTTTATAGTTTATCCGGGTATGTTGGATGCTTTGACAATAAATGACTTTATTTTCTTCAAAGCCCCTGGACGTTAATTGGTTCCGGGTGGAGGGAAGGGGCAGTGGGGAGGGGTACGGCCCTGTGGCTGCGGAGTCGGAATTCGTCTCTCGACCGGGGCGCGCTGCGGGGAAGGGCAGAGATTCCAGACCGCGCTGCCTCTCCTCCCTGCTCTTCTTCCCCGCTCGCCTGCCTTCCTGACATCCTGCCCCTCTGACATCCATCCTTCCTCTGTGCATCTTTGGTTTTGCCTGACATTGCATCCACCCTTTATTTCTCTCTTTCACCCTGTCCTTCCCTTCCTTTTCCCTTCATGGTTTTGGTTTTCTTTAATTTCTTTCTTTTAGCTTGTCTTTCTTTTCTTTCAATTTTCTTTCTTTTTCTTTCAGATTTTCTGCGTTTTCTGTCCCATTCTCTCTCCCTCTCTTTCCTCTCTTTCCCATTTTTCTTTTTTTCCTTTTCCTTTTCCTTTTCCTTCCCAGCCCCTCTCAGCTCCCTACTTTGCTCCACACCACCCACTTCACTCCTGCCAGGAGCCTTTATTGCTCCCCAACCTTTCCAGCTCTGTGGGTGGCCCCTAATTTGCAGGGTGAGCAGAGCCCCGGGGGGTGGGGTGACAGGGCCTAGAGGAGCCTCCAGCCTGGGGTGTCCTGGGGCAGGGAGCGCTTCAAGGGGCCAAGGGTGGGTCCTCTCTGCCCTGGTGCATTATGGGCGTGATGGCACCACAGCCGGGGAAACGCGGGAGGGCTCAGGAAAGGGAAACCCCTCTGGGCACAGCGGAACAGTCTGGTCCTATGGGCACCACCTGCAGTGGATGCATCTGGTGTCAGCCCAGAAGGTTTTGGGGTGCACAGGAGGGCCCTGAGGGACACAGCAGCCTGGGGAAACCTCTTTCCACACACAAGCTGCCACCACCCTGGAGAGGGCAGAGGCTCACAGTGATGAGGCTGCACATGGCTTGATGGGTCACTGGCGGGGAAAATATCCCAAAGCCAGAGCTGTGCAAGGCTGAAGCCCGCGGCAGAGCGTGGGAGCTGCCCGCTGTCTTGCAAGAGGGTTGAGGGTACCACCGGCATCTGCTGCTGTGGGGTTTGAGGTTTTCATGGAGTACCTGGACCTGCCGCAAAGCCTTTACAGCTCCCAGGAAAGTGTCTAGAGCCTCAGGTAGGACGTGCTTACAACTCTACACACTTGGAGAGTGTCTCTCCTGAGAAGCACTGACAGTCAGCACTGGCTGTCCTCACAGATGTGGGACGTGGCACGTCTGAGGAGTTTTAGGAGGGTCCCTGCCATGGACAGTCCACCCTCCCGGTGTTGCCGTTCAGTCCTTCAGAGCGCTGACCCCGGGACGGTACCGATAACCCCCAAACAACGCCATGTGCCGAAGAGACCCCCCGGCTGTCATTCCCTGCGACAGGAATACGCATGGCTCCAGCTGCTGCTTTAATTGCGGGGGCGACACACTAATTACTCTCGGCAGCTTTCCTTAAAAGCGGTGCCACCGCTGCAGCTCCTCTTTCTAGGGAAAGCTTTTGGGGATTTCCCGAGGTGTTGGGCCGTGGTCCCGGGGGATGCGGGGACGCTGCGGGGATGCCGGGGGCGGCAGAGGCAGGCGGGCACCGCCATCTAGTGGGGCCGCCGCGGGGCGAGCGGGGCCGGCCGGGATGCGCGGGGCCCCGGCGGGCTCCTTCGCGAGGATGATGCTCCGGACTCCTCTCCCGCGGCAGCTCCGCCTCCCCAGTACCCCGGGACGGCTTAGGGGCTGGGTCCTTCCTGCGCCCGGGGAGGCTCATAGGGGAGTGGAAATTATGCTCTCACCGGCTCCTACTGAGGTGAGTATCCTTCAGGCCACGTATCCTCATCACGAAGGCCTTTTTCCGAGCTCCCAGGCTTGGTGTGGGGAGTGGTTCTCCGGGGAGCAGCCAACTCTGGGGCAGCCCGAGCCTGCATGAGTGCAAGTATGCGGCATTGCTCCGTAGCCTGCCGAGAGGGTGAATCCAGCCTGATATCGCTCTGGTAATGCTGTGGAATAAACCTTTCTGGGAGAGATAAAAACCCCAGTGATGCTGAAAGGCTGGTGTGTCTCCCCAAGAGGCCTCTGGCTGGGGCTGAGGCTGTGGCCGGTGCTGCTGGAGGCCGTGGGCAGCCAGGGCTGGATCCTCGGCCACCCCAGGGCTAGGGCTCCACTGGCTAGTCTCATGTCTGCTCATGCTTTACCTTGCACATTTTCAAGTGACAATTGAATAATACCAGCCTGATGTTGGGAGGGGGGAGTGCTCCTGGGCCTATGCTCTGCAGTAGATCAAACAGGCTCAGAAGAGCCCTTCTCATCTTTAAAAGGGGAATTTTACACTTGAAACCCAGCTTATCCTCTTCATTTGCTGAGTTTTTTCTATAACTGAGCCCTGAATAATTTAAGTAACATAACATCAGCATTAGGCTTCCAAAGCTGCTAGAGTATGTGTGAGGGTTGCTACTGCCAAAGGCAGTTACACGCAATTACTCCAGGAAGTTGACTATTACATCTACTTATTTATTTAGATTAAAGCTTCATGTTTGGTCTGGACTGGGGGTTTTCCCCTGACTTTTGCTACAGAAGCACCTGCACTATTTGAAATTGATGTGTTGCGCTAATGAATAGGTCCAAATGAAAACATTTAAGGCTATACAGTTCAGGCCCAAAGCGCTGTTTGGGAGTTGTAAGGGTTTCATGGTGAAGAAGAAAACATGCCATGTGCCACAGGGACTTGTCCGAGTCATTTCTCTGCAGCGCAGCCAGCTGGGCATCACTTTCATAGGCACACAGAAGTCCCCAGAGGAGGGGGATGGCATCCTGCAGATGGGCAGGAGCTCCCACCTCAGACAGGGTATCCATCCCACAGCAGGGAACAGCAGAGTGTAGTGCATGAGAGACCCCCAAGGGCTCTACTGCCTCACTGCACCCCAACAAGGATCGGGAACATGCAGTGCACTGGCATTGCCTCCAACAGCAAGTCTTGGGGACCAGTCTGGGCAAGCTCACCCAGCTGGTGTTGCCTGCTTGGTGGCCTCAGTAATTGGCCATGCTCTGCAGGAGTTTGTGTTTTCTGGGAATTCTTCACTGAAGGGGAAAAACTTATCCAGAAGTGAGAGTGAGCAGAGGATGCGTGGCAGCAAGGGCAGCACCAGAAAGGCTGCTGGAAACTGTTGGTGTCAACCCATGGGTCAAAATTAGGGAGGCTGATCTTGCTAGTGAACCTCTGAGTATGGCAGTTTCGGGTGGGTATCTCTGCCTAGGATGTGCAGGTGCCTCCTTTCTGCTCCTGGGCTGTGTCCTGCTGTACCCTGTCACTTCCGGTGTGGCAACTTTAAACATAGTCACATTCACCTCCTGGTGCAGCAAGGTGGCCGTTCCTCCCTGTGTGCCTCAGCTGAGCTGATACAGAAGGTCCAGCACAAACTCCACACGGGAGATTCAGAACCCCTGCAGATCCTCATCCTGTTCATGGATCTGAATTCGGACTCAGCGTGTTCGTGTAATTCAAGATGAGGTGGGTAAGTGGAAGTCATGGATTTTGCCAGGCCAACTGCTACAGCTCAGAGAAGTAAACAAGATTTGAGTGCCTTGACCCTGCTTCAGGTATGTGCATCTATATATAGGGCTGGCTAAATATACATGTCTATATATAATGTGTGTCCATATAGCTGTGTGGATATATATATATATATGTGCTGAGAAATGGTTTGAAATTGCAGCAATGCTGTGAGATCATCTCTGCTTGCACCAGGCAGTGCCAGGTGTCAGTCAGGCAGGATACAGCCCCTTAAGTGTGCGTCCCTCCCTGTTCCCCCAACCTTCAGCTTCCTCGGAATGCGAAGGTCACTCTGCAGCATGCCACCCGCTCTGCCTCCTTCCTGCTGAACCCGATCCCTGGGTGCATGGCCTGGCCAAGGCCGCTGGCCAGAGCCACCCCTGGGGATGGCTGGGGAGTGGTTCCCAGGTGGGATTTAGGGGAGTACGCAGGTTGGCAGGAGCAGTGAGGGAACAGAGGTGCAGGCTGGGCGGGCTGCATTTGGCCCGTGTTGGCTTTTGTAGACATGAGGTTTTCCCAGTGGCTTTGGGGGCCTCAAGCAGCCCGAGGAGCCAAGAAAAGCGGAATCTGCTCAGAGTTGTGCGGTGTGATGGATGGGCTGTCGCCGCAGGGTCCCCTCTTGCACCGTGGTGCTGAGTGGCAGAGTTGTCTTTGTAATTGGGAAGAAATATGGCTGCCAGAACTGGGGGGCACCTGGCACATGTGTGGGTCACCAGGCCCACAGCAGGAGGCCAGGGCTGTGTACTCCTGCCTGGGAACTGCAGCGGATGTTGTGCACAGACGAGGGACAGAGCTTCCCTACAGGCTGTGAGATGCTGTCAGGGGGTTCGTGATGGGGACTCTCACCCACTGTCCCGCAAGAGCTGCTCTCAAGGGCTGAGCACGGCTATCCTGTCCCGGGTGGGATGGAGAGCAGCTTTGGCGGCTCAGCCCCACTCCCGAGTCCCCAGCCTGAGGCTGGGCTGGGTTGGGCGTGCAGCTGCCGTGTCACCTCCCGAACCCTGGGCGGGGGGCTGCAACTCGACCCTGTCCCCAGAGTCCCGCGGCCCCGTCCCAGCGAGGCGGAGAAGTTAATTCTCAGATGGATGCGCCCCCGATCACCGCATCTGCCGCTCGTACTGGGCAGGGGGGGCTGGCGGGGTCGGGCACAGGTGCGGGGCCGCCGCCCGGTTATAAATAGCGGGGAGGGGCGGCCTGGTTCCCCCCGCCGTGCCCGGTTCCCCCCTCCCCCGTGCCCAGTTCCCCCGCCGGGCCTCGGAACGGAGCGGGATGCGGCGCCCTCCCTCCTCCCGCCCGCCGGCACCATGAGCCCGTCCTTCCTCCTTCTCCTCCTCGCCCTGCCCGCCCGCGCCCGGCGGGAGCAGGTGCTCGGCGAGGCGCAGCGGGGCCACAACGCCCCTGCGCCTTCCTCCTCCTCCTCTTTCTCTTCCTCCTCCTCCTCCTTGGCGGCGGCGGCGGCGGCGGCGGGGCCGAGCCGCTTCCCGCGGAGCCGCCCGGAGCGGCGGCGGGGCCGCCTGTACTGCCGAGTGGGCATCGGCTTCCACCTCCAGCTGCACCCCGACGGCCGCGTGGACGGCGCCCATGACGCGAGTCCGCTCAGTGAGTGGGGAACCGGGGGGCTGGGGGGCTGCCGGGGCGGGGGTAGCGGGGCTGAGCATACTCATCCTCATCCCCATCCCTGCAGTGTCCCCAGCTCCACGGAGGTGACAGAGCCCCTCGTGGCCGCTACCCTCGCCTGGAGTGAGCTGCAGCCCTGGCGGCCTCGGGAAGGGGGTGCTGGGGGGGGCTGTGCTCTTTGGGCTCCGTGGGAGCTGCCTGGCTCGCTTTGGGAAGCACCACCTGCAGGTTCAGCCGCCTCGAGGAAGTGAGTCTGTGGGGATAGTGTGAGGGAGTGAGGTCTGCACTCCCACCATAGCCCCTTGTCAGGCACCTGGGGAGAGGATGCTCTCCCTTTTCTGTCCTTTTCCTGTGGAACTTTTCCATCCTTCCCACTGCATTCTCATTCTCCCAGCACAGCAATAGGATATATTCTGTTTAAAAATAGGATTGAGGCTGAGGTTCCCGAGAGAAAGCTGTGCTAACTCATGGCTTATTCTGTTAGAGGGAATGAAACGGCAGGTGGGGATGAAAAGTCACTTAAAGAACCTGAGGGCTTGGGCCCGAGGTGACCCTGGCAGCATACGAGGCTCAGCTGTTGGGAGCGCTCACGCAGCAGCCGCCACATCTTCCCTGAATACTGAAGTATTCGGGCCCCGGTCTGTGCTGAGGCCCCATGAGGGAGGGCAACCCCCAGCCAGGGATGGTGAAAGCCTCGGAACTCTGCTCGGGGCTTTACGGGCACTGCAGGCACATGGCCTGGAGGGGTCTAGGGGAAGGATGGGAAAACAGGGCATCCATACCAGGGCTGTTCTGAGAGACGTGAGCTTGGAAGGACTGGCAGAGGTTTGGTGCCACAGCTGTCTTGCAGGGACCTGGATCATGCGATATTCCTACCTCCTTAACCTGACATTTTCTCCCCATAAAAGCCACAGTGGCACCAGCTCTGCATTTCAGAGTGGAGCCAGCCCTGGCTGGGAAAACATTCTGGTGAGAGGGGCTATGCTGGGGTTTCAGGCTGAGGAACTGTCCCTCATGGGAAAGCAGTTGGCTTTTGGCAAGCAAACCCCAGCTTTGGCCCCTGGGAAATGGGGCTTGACCCCAGGCAACCCCAATAACCAGGAGTATGTCTGCCAGCCAGCAGGGCCACCCCACAAATGGCAGCAGGTTTTGGGGTGCCCT